CATAATAAATGGATCTTGACTTTAAGAACTGAAAATGATCAGTGTAATGGATTTTTTAAATCATTCTGCACTGTAATAAGCTGAATGAATTTCCTTGACATTGTAATTTATCAGCTAGTTTCCACATTAAAAGTAGATACATCGGGCACATCTTGTAAAGTTTATATATAGAAGATGCTTTTCTGTATCAGCATTAAATAGAACTTAGTTTAAAAGCTGATTATATGAACTCTGTTGCTCTGTCTATTTGACAATGAGATATTTGTTTCTTGCTGAAGGCTCGGGTGGATATGGTTATCTACGGGAGCCTCTTTGGTGGATTGGGATGGTAACTAGTAAGTCTTGAATTGCTTCTTATTTGTCAGAGAATATGTTCCTGAATTTGTTATTCTAATATAGAGTGCAATGTTCACCATAATCCTTGCAGTGATTGTTGGAGAATTTGCAAATTTTGTGGCTTACATTTATGCGCCAGCAGTTCTTGTGACACCGCTTGGAGCTTTAAGTATAATTGTGAGGTAAATTTCCACTTGACTTTATTATTTTCTGGGAAATGGCTTATTCGGTTTTCTTCCATATAATTTGGCGCTTTGCTGCAGTGCTGTTCTAGCACATTTCATACTGAAGGAAAAATTGAAGAAACTGGGAGTATTAGGATGTCTTTTATGTATAGTAGGTTCCGTTGTCATTGTTCTTCATGCACCTCGTGAACATGATCTCAATTCAGTGGATGAAATATGGGCATTAGCTACACAACCAGGTGTGCTGATGTACTGTGCTGTATTTCCTTGAATATCATTCTTATTTGCCTTGCTGATATATCATTTTATTGATGTTCCACTCTTTGTTTTGCAGCTTTTCTTTTGTACACTGCATCAGCAGTTGCAATAACATTGGTACTAGTCTTGTATTGTGAGCCTCGCTATGGTCGGACAAATATCATGGTCTATATTGGTGTTTGCTCCATTATTGGTTCCTTGACGGTTAGTGCCTCTATTGTATTGATCTATATCCCTACAGAGTCTCTACTTCTACTCAAGAATTAAGAAAGAGAAGGAAGGAAGGGAAGAAACATGTGTCACAACCGTGCCTTAGTCTGTAGCTCTGACCTGACTGAGTTAACCGTGTAGCTAAGTTGGCAGTTTGCAAGACGCCTTATCTTTTAAAGTTAATCCGAATTCTACCTTTCTCTGTGGTGTTGGAATAGCATTATGTGACCACAAAATGGATCATATTTTTTAAGTTGTTAAGAGTCAAACTGCCCCTGGGTCCTCGATCCATTGCTAGTTGTCACTGAAGTAAAAGAGAACTTCTCATTTAGGTATAAATGGATGTATGGAACTTGAAATATTACTCCAGAGCTTTAGGGTGCTGTAACGTGTTAGCATGTCACTAGATGTCTTTTCCTGCCACTATGCTTGTACAAATGACTATTCTTTGATCTGTTATAATTTATAAGGCATCCAGGGTTGCTGTTGTTTTTCCATGACTAGTAAGTGTGTAACTCAATAAAAGATTGCAGTGCTATTACTTTATTTTATTAATTTTTGTCTTTTACATAAATTTAAAACAAGTCTTTGTTGCTAGTTGAGATAAGCTTTTATCTAGTCACATCTTGTTAGTTCGAGGTCGAGTTATTTTATGACTTCTTTATCAATCGAATTCACTATCTTATGAATAATACTCTCATGTATTTTGCTTTAAAGACTTGATAAATAACAGTTTATGAATTGGTTCCTCTCTTAAATTTTTTGTATTAAATGAGCTACTATTGCAGTTCTTTTTGCCGAACTGACTTAGAGAGGGCTTGTGTTGCCAATGAAACATGGTAAAATTATTCCGAATGAGAAGTAAAGAAAATATAGGAACTGGTCCTTCTAAATTTCTCAGAAGTACAATTGGTAAAAATTGCATGTAGCAGTCATTTTAAGCTTGTTTGTTGCTCTGTTGTAGGTTATGAGCATCAAAGCTATCGGTATAGCTATAAAGCTTACATTGGAGGGTTCAAACCAAGCTGCAAATTTTCAAACTTGGGTGTTTGTGATGGTTTCTGTTACATGTATAATTACTCAACTAAATTACTTAAATAAGGTAGACTTTCTACTTCTCCTTGTAGTATGTAGTGATGTTTGAAGTCTGAGAGTACTATTAGAATTATGCTTTTGGACTACAGTAACTTTGTTTAACTGTGTTGTTTTTGAATAAATCCTAGTTAAAGTTTGTTAGCTAGCTAGCCTTAAGTTCTAGTAATTAGTTACTCCCTTTGTCCCAATTTATGTGATATTAGTTTGACTTGGCACAAAGTTAATGCAATATGAAAAGACTTTGCAATGTTCCAAACCTACCCTTAAAAGAAATGAATTTTTAAATAGAAGAATACACTTTTGTGGACTTTTTGCCCAATAAGTGTGACCCAGCATGGGTAAAATGTTGATAATGTCATTAAACATTTGCCAAATATGGAAATGTGTCATTCTTTTTGGGACTAACTAAAAGGTAATGTATGTCATATAAACTGGGATAGGGATGAAGGTAAGATATGATTCTCTGGAGATACTCCAGGCTAGGATAATGATCATATTTTTACTGTTTTTTTTTTTAAATTTTAAGTTCCCCGTAAATGTAGAGTAAGTTGAATAAAAAAGTTCCCTTTGATAGCATTGCAGCATTTTCCTCTCAGTCTTGCTCTGTTATTTTCCGAAATCTCTTTGCTAAAAACCAACAATTGGTAAAAGAGCATTTTTCAACGCTCCCCTTATTAAATTGCCCACCACTAGATCTCCATTCTTGGGCGTGGGGTAGTGTGTGAAGAGATCTCTTTAATATGGCTTGGACAATTCTCACCACATGGGTGATCTCTTGAGCTATCTTTTGAGGTTGAGTTAGAACCAATATCCATTTCTTTTTACAAGTACAATTGTAATTGGAGAACTTATGAACCAACACTCATTGGCATTTGTTCAAATGCTTGAGCTAATAATTACAGGGATTACTATGGAAACTACATGTTATTGGATCTTGGCTTAGACTTGTAATGTAAATTGGACAAATGCCTGAATTTGGCTCTTGCAGGCATTGGACACATTTAACACAGCTGTGGTTTCTCCAATATATTATGCCATGTTCACATCACTTACAATTTTAGCCAGTGCCATAATGTTTAAGGTATTCTGAAAGTTTATGTTCGGGATGCAAGGGGGCCTTCTCTCATTTTAATTCTAATGTCATGTCTTTCTCTCAGGATTGGTCTGGTCAGAGTGTTAGCAGCATAGTTTCAGCGCTTTGTGGCTTTTTAACTGTGCTCTCTGGTACATTGGTTCTTCATAGTACAAGAGATCCAGATCCTCCTCCTAGTACAGGTAATTACACTGAGCTTGATCAGAAAAAATCCATGTGCCGTATCATTCTAGTCTGTGCAACAATGCAAAAAGGTTATGCATACTGATTATTGTGATAAAAGTTTTAGATGATACTCAGATAACTCTCTTTGTTGTTATGAAGTAGTAATAGGTGTGGATAAACTTGTCTCCTTCAGTAGATGCTCTTTTAAACTTGATAAATCTCTTTGTTGCTATGGAGCTCAAGTGCTTCTGTAGAATGAATTTCAGTTTTTTGATTGGAAATAGCCTCTCGTTCAAAGGGAATAGGATATTGTTCTCCTGTTTATGAGATGATCTGGAGATAGTGTTATCACTTTCTGTAGGTAGAGCATTAATAGAAGAAGATGACTTATCATAGTCTAGACATTCTGAATGTATATATTCTTGTTTGTTGCAGTTATTGCAACCAGAAATTTGTTGCTTTTGGGCACGTCTTTGATTAGTTTAAATATCATATATTACTTGCAGATTTGTACGCACAACTTTCCCCTCAAATATCATGGTTAATACATGCCAACGGAGAAATATGGAAGCAGAAAGAGGACAGTTTGCATTCAGAGTTTGTTGCAATAATCAGGCAGGATCATTTCAAGTAACGCAAAAGAACTTAAATGATTGGTTGGAGGCACTTCTCTATGGCTGTTCATTTCCGTCCAAAAAAAATACGTGTGCCAAATTTTGGATTTTCCGGTCATCTCCCCTTTATCAATTTCAGCTTGAGAGTGTTTTCTGTTTTTATTCTTTTGGTGAGATGTCTGATATCTGTTGATTATTCTCGGCCATTTCTATGACTCAATTTTTCAGCCTAGTTTGTAGATTTCTGGGTTTGGTGGGAACCTAGATGTAGTATAGCGGGTTAAAAAAATGGTAGATTAGTATTCTGTTGATAAATTGTTCTGTACGCGAAGAACAGTCTTGAGCAAGGCAATGATAGTTTGAGTATTAACATTTCTGTTCCTTTGTGTTGTGTACTATAACTTGTGGAATGGACACAGGAAGAAGCCGGTGTTGCATTTGTTAACTTAAAGGCATGGAATTGCAGACATTTTCACCATACCATACAAATATGAAATGACAGGAAACAGAAATCTAGATAGGCTATAAAAGATACATTTAGCCAAAACTCGGCTAACTTTCTGCCATCTTCAACCACATTTGGCTAATGGTCCACCGCAGAGATGTCTATTTCCTCCATATTCAAAATCAGACAATCCTGAAAATGGTGGTATTTTACCAGAAAGATTATTGTTGGCCACGGAGAGCACCTTAAGCCTCGTTAATCGAGAGATTTCTGGTGGAATATTTCCAGAGAGTTTGTTGTTATTGAGCATCAACTTGTTCAGGTAGGTGCAGTTTCCAAGTTCAGCAGGTATAGAGCTGGAGAAACTGTTGTTGGACAAGTCGAGGATTACTAAAAAAGGAGTCCAGCTACAAATCTCCGAAGGAATGGGACCAGAGAACCTGTTACCAGAGAGATCAAGAGTAGTCAAAGAGGAGCAATATTTGAAGGCATCTGGGAGCTGTCCACTGAGATTCATGTTTGGAAGTGAGAGGCTGAGCACCCGGTTCTCGAGGTCGTTCCAGCAACCGACACCAATGAACTTGCAGATAAACCCCATGGAGTAGTTTGAGAAGTTCCAAGAATTCAAATTTCCATTAGGATCCTTAAATGAGTCCTTCAGTCCTTGCAAGCACCTAATATCATCTGATGCAGTAACATTGTGAAGTAGCACTGAAAATGAAAGAAAAAGGAGAAAAAATATTGTAGATTTGGCCATGGTGAAAAAATGAGGAAAGGAACAAGTGGGAAGATTAGTCTAAATAGAGTTTTTCATGAGAGAATACGCGTGAAGAATGAAGAAATAGTCTTTGGTGTGCAAGTTCCAGTCAAGGTCAGTGTTGCATTTTAATTATGTAGTAGTTATGAGTCATTATATTACTGCACTAGTTAAGAAGAGTATGTTGATTAGTTAACTTATATTCGCAATTTTGTAACTTATAATACATAAATATGTCCTTTATGGCCTCAACGGGCATAGATGCCCTTCAACTTTGAGTGTACATAAGTAGACAATTAAATTTGTATAAAGTTGAATTGCCACGTATGATGTGTGTGGCTATTTGTTCAACTCTATACAAGTTTAAGTGTCTACTTGTGTGCACCCAAAGTTGAAGAAAATAAATTCCAAACGAAGCCAAGTTAAAGGACACCGTTTATGTATTATGCCTTTTTTATTTCATGTAATTATTTAGAATACAAAGTCTTTAACCCAAAGCAAGCACTCACAGTCACCAAAATGAAGAAATAACAAAACAGTACATACATTTTCACAATCTAAAAGACATTCACAACCTCTGCTTCAAAACTCTTGAGAGAAAAGGAGCTTGATACATGGCTAGATGCTATGATGTACCCTTCACAGACATCAAGGATTTTCAAAGTTTTCTTCACAGGATGGTGCAAGAACATGAAATCGCCATGGCACAAGAACAACACCTCTCCATCCTCCAAAACTTTCAACATAAAAATTATTTCATTGCACAACCAATCGTTGCATTCAGGAGAAATGTTTATGACAATCTCTTTAACCCATGAACTAGTAACTCCATATTCTTTCATCACCCACACCTCGAAATGAGTACCTGCATAATTGTCACACACACATAAACAGCGTCCATAAACTCCCAAAGTTCGTAAATTTGGACAATTTTTCTCAGTGTACCCTGGAGCTGTGGGGAATGATTCAAACAACTCATTCTCGAAATCAAACGAACATATTAACTCATTTCCATTAGCATCATAAACCAACCAATGAATCTTTGCGTAGAGGTTCACCCCATGTGGCATGAAAGAGAACATAACATGTCCTGCATTTCTCCAATACCCTTTGCCAATTGTGTAGACTTGACCTTTAGACTTGTAATAATCATCATAAATTTTATCTTGGTAAATTCTAACCACTTTGTACTCGAACCTAACAGGATCAAAACCGAAGCCATAAGTGACAATACCATTGGGCCACCCTCTTACCCCTTCAGCCTCTGGAAGAATGATATACTCTGTGGTTCTCGGATTGAGGATGTAAATAGTATCAACACGATGACGATGGGGGAAGTAATTAAAACAAACAAAACCATGAACTGATCCAACCATCCAAAATGGATCAACAGGAAAGTAAAGTTGTAGATCAAGGTCAACATTTGGATCGAGGCAAAATGAATGATCAGTATCTTGATCTTCGAATTTCAAGAACTTTAAGGTATCAGTAATAGAAATCTCATCCAAGCTGTATTGGTTGATTATAATGCCTGCTGGAGATGTTGAACGTGATAGTTTTAAAAATTCGGAATCTAAGGTTAGGTTTAGAAAAGATTTGGAGACGCTTTTGACGTTTAAGAGTGTGGTGGGAGGTAATCTAGAGAGAATTTCAAACAAGATTGGTGATGGAAGATCCATCAGGGATGTTGCTTCATCAATACTCATTTCTTACAACTCTTTGGATAATGAAACATGCACCAGAAATGTTGTGTCCAAAATGTTTTTAACAAGTTAGCTAGCTGAATTGTTCAATGCTTTGGAAGAATATTCAACATTACGTATGCCATATTTATTGAAAGTCAAAGGTCCAAGAAGCCTTTCACTTTCAAGATCAAATGTCACGAGTCTAAAATTTGAGTCATTAGCTATGCTTGCCAACATGACAACTAGAGTAAGGTGCAAGAATATTAGAGATTTTGGGTTCTAATTTCTAGTATTTACAAAAAGATATACTTCTAAAAATATTTGTTGGTGAAAGTTTGTATACACATTTTTTAGATCTATATTTACTCGACTGTACTTGGTCTAGCAGGCTGACCTCATTTATTTTCATTAAGATTAAGATGTTTGAATGTTAATGCAAATGTTATGATATGAGAAGTCCAATATAGAAGAATAAATAAACGTAGTTGTAGAGGGTCGAAATCGAGTAAACGAAGGGAGGTTAATTTCTTTTCTTTTAAATTGAATGGCCGAGATTGAAATCAGTTTAATGAATAGCAAGGGCGAGGATTCAACCACGACATCAGGGCAGTTATCACTGTTATAACCCCCCCTGACATGGGAGAGTGGGCATCCGGAGCCAAACGGGCAAAAAAAAGTGAGCAAAATTTCCAAAAGGGCAACAAAAATTGAGGGTCAAACCTAAAGGGAAACATTTGGATGGAAGGATGGATGTCGTTAAATCATTGGTTGGAAGGTGCACGCTGACATGCTCCTTGTAAGGCGCACGCTGAGCACAACCGTGTTACACTGGAGGCCAGTACAGAAATAAGTGAATTTCCACCGGATGTGGTAATTGAAGGTGATATGGAACAAACAGTAGTGAAAGTTGTGTGCTTAAGTGCATTGTCTGGACATAATAGAGGGGTCAAATCAATATTGGTGAAGGGTACCATCACTACATCAAAAATAATTTTTAGCGGCAATTAAAACTCTTTGTATATGTCCTAAAGCCTTTAGCGATATTGGATCCAATGACAATTAACTAATGCCGGTAAAGATTTTAGCACTCTTTATTAATGTGTATGTTTATTGCCGCTAAAAGTTGTTTTTGTTGGAGTGCATTAAGAATAGGAACCTTCCTGTGCTTATAGACTTTGGGAGTAACCATAGTTTCATGGATGCTCATACTGTCAAAGAGACTGATTACCAAGTTAGTTACTACCCTTTATGAGAGCAACATTAGCAGATGGAAACTATGTGATGTGCAACTCTTCTTGTTTCAGATTCCAATGGAAAATGCAGGCTAGGACATTTCAAGAAGATCTACTGATAATTCCACTAGGTGGCTCTGATCTCGTTTGGATGAAAAAGCACAACCCTACTAAGTTTGACCATGAGATAAATTGTGTTACTGGTGTTGAAGGGCATTTCTGAAGAGGGCAAGCTCAGCATGATCAATAGTGGTGCTATGGGTAAGTTTCTTAAGAAGGGGAATGCTCTATTTGCCCATCTATTCATGATGAACAGTGCAACAGATCAGGATCAAGAGTCGGAGGTTATAGTACTACATGTATTAGAACAATTTATTGATGTGTTCTCTGAGCTTATCCTTACTTCCTATCAGATCTTTAGATCACAGGATTAGTTTGAAGCCTGGGTCTAGTCCATGAGCTTTCAAGATCAATGGTCAAAAGTCTAGAATTTGAGTTATCAGCTATGCTTTCCAACATGACAACTAGAATATGGCAAGGCCCGGGTCAGAGTTATAATCAAACATGACGCTTGAGCGTAGAATAACGTGTAGGAGACGAATTGTCATGTAGGACGACTGTGTCTATTTGTTCAACTCTATACAAGTTTAAGTGCCTACTTGTGTACATCCAAAGTTAAAGAACACAAATTCCAGATAAAGCCAAGTTAATTGACACGTTTGTGTATTATACCTTTTTTATTTCATGTAAGTATTTAGAATACAGAGTCTTTAATCCAAAGCAGGCACTCAGTCACCAAAATGAAGAAATAACAAAACAGTATACTCTAGCACAATACATGCATTTTGACAATCTAAAAGACATTCACAACCTCTCCTTCAAAATTCTTGAGAGAAAAGGAGCTTGATACATGGCTAGTTGCTAAGATATTCCCTGTACAAACATCAAGCTTTTTCAAAGTTTTCTTCACAGGATGGTGCAAAAACAAGAAATCGTCACGCCACATGAACAACACCTCTCCATCCTCCAAAACTTTCAACATATAGATCATTTCATTGCCCAACCAATTGTTGCATTCAGGAGAAATGTTTATGACAATCTCTTTAACCCATGAGCTTGTAATTCCGTATTCTTTCATCACCCATACCTCAAAATGAGTATCTGCATAATTGTCACACACACATAGACAACGTCCAAAGACTCCCAAACTTCGCGAATACCAATACCTTTTCTTATTGTGCTTTGGAGCCGTGGGGAAAGATTCAAACAACTCATTCTCCAGATCAAACGAACATATTGACTCATTTCCTTTAGCATCATAAACCAACCAATGAATCTTCGCGTAGAGGTTCACCCAATATGGCATGAAAGAAAACATAACATGTCCTGCATTTCTCCAATACCCTTTGCCAATTGTGTAGACTTGACATTTAGACTTGTAATAACTAGTATTATCATCATAAATTTCTTCTTGGTAAATTCTAACCACTTTGTACTCGAACCTAACAGGATCGAAACCAAAGCTATACATGACATCATTGGGCCACTCTCTTATCCCTCCAGCCTCTGGAAGGATGATATACTCCCTGGTTCTTGGGTTGAGGATGTAAATAGTTTCAACATAATCAGGGAAGTAATTAAAACAAACGAAACCATGAACCGATCCAACCATCCAAAATGGATCAATAGCAAAGTAATGTTGTAGATCAAGGTCAAGTTTTGGATCATGACAATATGAATGATCAGTATCCTCATCTTCGAATTTCAACAACTTTAAGGTGTCGGTACTACAAGTCTCATAAAAGCTGAATTGGTTGATGATGATACTGGCTGGAGATGTTGAACGTGATAGTTTTAAAAATTCGGAATCTAAGGTTAAGTTTAGAAAAGATTTGGAGACGCTTTTGACATATAAGAGTGTGGTGGGAGGTAATCTAGAGAGAATTTCAAACAAGATTGGGGATGGAAGATCCATCAGTGATGTTGCTTCTTCACTACTCATTTCTTACAACTCTTTGGATAATGAAACATGTACCAGAAATGTTGTGTCCAAAATGTTTTTAACAAGTTAGCTAGCTGAATTGTTCAACACTTTGGAAGAATATTCAACATTACGTATGCCATATTTATTGAATTGAATTTTCTACCTCGCTTTCAAGATCAATGGTCAAAAGTCTAGAATTTGAGTTATCAGCTATGCTTGCCAACATGACTTGGTCTAGCAGGCTTATTGTCCCTAAGAACCAATGCTAATAACTTGGTTAGAATAATTGGGAATGCATGTTTTTTCTTGTCCTAGTTTAGTGATATTTACTTTATGTAGGGTAATGTCAATATACTGCATTACTGCCTATAGCCAGGGGCGGCTCAAACCCGTTGGTGGCCTAAAGCCAAAATCAAACTAGAGGCCTTTAAAAAATTATAAATATTTTTATTTTAAGTCTATTTTTCTAGCTTTTTGAGATGCAAAGTTGTTAATAATTTTTATGTAGTCAATCTCATTTAATAGTTCTTTTTCAATCGATAATATAGCCAAACCACTTAATCTTTCTTGAAACATTGTTGATCTTAAATAAGATTTTATTATTTTTAATTTAAAAAAAACTTCTTTCTGCTGAAGTGGCTATTACAGGAATTGTTAACATTATTCTATAAGCAATGTAAGCATTTGGAAAAGAATCAAGTTTTTTATTTGATTGAGTATCTCAATTAGAGTATTGTCTTCTATTTTTATGATTTTCCTTAACACTTTTAATTCAGAAAATAAGTCTAAACCGTCAATATCGGAGTGAGTATTATGTTTTAAGGAACATTCAAGATTAAGACAATATTTTTTTTTAAATTCTCATCATCTAATGATCTCAATTTTTTCCCACTAAATAGAAAACCAAAAATACTTTCATATACTTCAAATTATTCAAATCTATTTTGAAGTGAAAATATGGATTGATTTACTATGTATTAGAAGTTATCAACTCTAAATGATTCTTCAAGAGATCTTGTGATTTCATTATCAACATTCTCATCAAAATGTTTTTTTCTATAAATTACACGTTTCTTACGAAAGTTAGGTTCTATATTCATCTCTAATGCAATTTTCTTAGCCGAAATCATAGCTTTGAATAAGAGAGATGTAAGACTAGAAAAGAGAAAGGGAGAAGATATAGAAGAGAGGAAGAGGGAGGATAGAATATATAAAAATAAAATTAGAAAAGTATAAGGTAAAAAAAGAAGATAACTTGTATATTAAAAAAAGGTACACAACTTTTTATTGGAAAGTTAAAAGTAATTGTCATATCTATCACTACAATAATGCCGTTTGCATTTGTTGTCTTAATTCTAATTTTTTTTTTAGTTTAGTCCTACCTAATTAACAAAAAAATGGGGCCCCTAAAATTGGGGGCCTAAGGCGAAGGATTTTTTTTAAGCCTTACCAACCGCCCCTGCCTATAGCAAGGCCCACGAGGGGTCGGGGTGGCCTAAGTCAGAGTCATAATCTAACATGACGCTTGCTTGGTGGGCATGGTTAAGAAATAAAGTTGTGACTTTGCTATCAGTTATAGGATTTGGCATAACCAAATTACTGTTAAACCAAAGCAAAGAATTGCAGTTGACATGAGTAAATATATAAAACAGAATGGTAACAATATACTACAGAAGTACAATACACACTTTTTTGACAATAATCTAAAAGACATTCACAACCTCTACTTCAAAATTCTTGAGAGATAAGGAGCTTGATACATGCCCACATGCCAACAAGTTCCCTTCACAGACATGAAGCATTTTCAAAGTTTTCTTCACAGGATGGTGCAAGAACAAGAAATCATCGCGCCACAAGAACAACACTTGTCCATCCTCCAAAACTTTCAACAGATTAATCATTTCATAGCACAACCAATCGTTGTATTCAGGAGCTATGTTTATGACAATCTGTTTAACCCATGAATCAGTAACTCCGTATTCTTTCATCACCCATACCTCAAAATGAGTATCTGCATTATTATCACACACACATAAACAACGTCCAAACACTCCCAAACTTCGTAAATTTGGACAATTTTCTTTACTGTACCCTGGAGCAGCAGTTGGGAATGATTCAAACAACTCATTCTCCAAATTAAACGAACATATTAAATCATGCACGCTGATATGCTCCTTGTAAGGCGCACACTGAGCACAACCCTGTTACACTGGAGGCCAGTACAGAAATAAGTGAATTTCCACCAGATGTGGTAATTGAAGTGATATGGAACAAACAATAGTGGAAGTTGTGTGCTTAAGTGCTTTGTCTGGACACAATAGAGGGGTCAATTCAATATTGGTGAAGGGTACCATAAAGAATAGGAACATTACGGTGCTTATTGACTTTGGGAGCAACCATGGTTTCATGGATGCTCATACTGTCAAAGAGACTGGTTACCAAGTTAGTTACTGCCCATTGTGAGAGTAACAATAGCAGATGGCAACTATGTGATGTGCAACTCTTCTTGTTTCAGATTCCAATGGAAAATGCGGGCTAGGACATTTCAAGAAGATCTATTTGTAATTCCACTAGGTGGCTATGATCTCGTTTGGATGAAAAAGCACAACCCTACTAAGTTTGACCATGAGATAAATTAGGTAACTGGTGTTGAAGGGCATTTCTGAGAGGGCAAGCTCAGCATGATCAATAGTGGTGCTATGGGTAAGTTTCTTAAGCAGGGGAATGCTCTATTTGCCCATCTATTCATGATGAACAGTGCAACAGATCAGGATCAAGAGTCAGAGGTTATAGTACTACATGTATTAGAACAATTTATTGATGTGTTCTCTGAGCCTAAGTCCTTACTTCATATCAGATCTTTAGATCACAGGATTAGTTTGAAGCCTGAGTCCAGTCCATGAGCTTTCAAGATCAATGGTCAAAAGTCTAGAATTTGAGTTATCAGCTATGCTTTCCAACATGACAACTAGAATATGGCAAGGCCCGGGTCAGAGTCATAATCGAACATGACGCTTGCGCGTAGGATAACGTGTAGGAGACGAATTGTCATGTAGGACGACTGTGTCTATTTGTTCAACTCTATACAAGTTTAAGTGCCTACTTGTGTACATCCAAAGTTAAAGAACACAAATTCCAGATAATACTTGTGTACACCCAAAGTTAAAGAGCACAAATTCCAGATAAAGCCAAGTTAAATGACACGTTTGTGTATTATACCTTTTTTATTTCATGTAAGTAATTAGAATACAGAGTCTTTAATCCAAAGCAGGCATTCAGTCACCAAAATGAAGAAATAACAAAACAGTATACTCTAGCACAATACATGCATTTTGACAATCTAAAAGACATTCACAACCTCTCCTTCAAAATTCTTGAGAGAAAAGGAGCTTGATACATGGCTAGTTGCTAAGATATTCCCTGTACAAACATCAAGCTTTTTCAAAGTTTTCTTCACAGGATGGTGCAAGAACAAGAAATCGTCACGCCACATGAACAACACCTCTCCATCCTCCAAAACTTTCAACATATAGATCATTTCATTGCCCAACCAATTGTTGCATTCAGGAGAAATGTTTATGACAATCTCTTTAACCCATGAGCTTGTAATTCCGTATTCTTTCATCACCCATACCTCAAAATGAGTATTTACATAATTGTCACACACACATAGACAACGTCCAAAGACTCCCAAACTTCGCGAATCCCAATACCTTTTCTTATTGTACATTGGAGCCGTGGGGAATGATTCAAACAACTCATTCTCCAAATTAAACGAACATAGTAACTCATTTCCATTAGCATCAGAAACCAACCAATGAAGTTTTCCATATAGTTTCACCCCATATGCCCAGCATCCAAAACATAACATGACATGCCCTGCACAACTTCTCCAATACCCTTTCCCAATTATGTAAACTTGAGCTTCAGACTTGTAATAACGAAAATCATTAGTATCACGAATTTCCTCTTGATAAATTCTAACCACTTTGTACTCGAACCTAACAGGATCGAAACCAAAACCATAAGTAACTAAATTAGGCCACTTTCTTACACGTTGTGGCTCAGGAAGGATGATATATTCTCTTGTTGTTGGATTGAGGATGTAAATACTATCAACATCACCGAAAAAGTAATTAAAACAAACGAAACCATGAACCGATCCAACTAGGAAAACTGGATCAGCAGGAAAGTAAAGTTGCAGATCAAGGTCAACAATTGGATCATGATCAAAGTTGTTATCGACTACGAATTTCAAAATCTTTAAGGTGTTGGTCCTATTAGAGTGGAATTGGTGGATGATGATGCTGGCTGAACGTGAAAGTTTTGTAAATTCGGAATCTAAGGTTAGATTTAGAAAAGATTTGGAGAGGGTTTTGACGTATAATAGTGTGGTAGGAGGTAATGTAGAGAGAATTTGTAACAAGATTGGAGATGGAAGATCCATCAGGGATGTTGCTTCTTCACTCATTTCTTACAAAAGTCTTAGCGCTGATATTTTGGTATTTATAGCAAGTGGCTCGATCGGTGAGTTTGATCAGAAAAATTATTCATATTTCAACTCTTATCTTCTATATTTAAGTATAATATTCAAACAGTTTTCCGGTCAAACTTGTACAGCACGCATTCAGTTATGTTTTGACAACATGACAAGAGTAAGGCGCAAGCATATTTGAAATAAAAAAACTATTAAATATTGTCTTTAATTTGACTATCGATTAAATAAAAAGAGAATCTTAGCAACTTATTTGCAAGCAAAGCTCATTTATTAATTTCCAATTAGCTTAAGTTTCCATCAAGAGTACGTTCAGTGGGTCTCATTAATGGTAGAATAAAATATATCTCGATTGAACTAATATATACAATTTTAATATGATTTTTATTAACGAAAAAGTATGTGATTACATAATTTTTATTCTTTATATATATATATATATACACTAGATTTACATTTTAGGCTTTCAACGTATCAATATGTATTTAATATTGCACTACGTCATACTAAGTGAATGGCCAATCTATTTGCCTTCTTTCTTGTTGGGCATGTAGTGACGAACGTTGTATTCTTAAATTGTTATTAGGCAATTTGTTAGTAAGTAATTGTGCACGAATTAACAGTTTGTCCTCTTAGTTATGTCGTGTCATGAACTATATGTTCCCTTTTATTATTTGAAATTCAGTGTACCCTGTATTTGAATAACTTTATATACACAAAAGTAATGCCTTCTGTGGTAGCTGTCTGGTGTTTTTCATATCATCTCCTTTTCCACCAAACCTAAGAATTCGTCCAATATAATTTTCATTAGGAACTGTATGTTCCATTTTGTTTTTTCTTGTTTGATTTCTTATAATTTTGGTATTAATCAAATCTCACCTAATACTTTCTTGTATATGTCCCGGTACATCAATCTGGTTGTTCAGTCATGACCTGCACTTTTTTTGTTGGAATAGATATTCCTCTAGATAGTGCAATGTAGATTTTGCCATGCGAGAAAGCATGTTGTGGTAGGTATACTCTTACATTTGACATCGTTTGACCTTTAGCCTTTTTTAATATCATCATTGCAAAAACATAGACGTATTGGAAATTGTTTCCGAATAAATTTAAAAGAGTATCCTTCATTTTCGTGGGGGGAGGGGGGTGATAGTTGTATTGTTGGAGTAAACACCTGGTTTGTAGCATATTGACATGTTGTTTTTTCTGCATGTATTACATTCTTATCAGAGCCTCTACAAATCAATCATGTCCCATTGCATAAGCCATTTGAGGGGTCCAATTTTCTCAGCAACATGATGGGTGTATTTTCTTTCAAAACTAACCTAATGTATAAAATTAACAAAATTATCAATTGTTATGTATATGTAATCGGGTAATTCTTTTCTTCTCTTTCGTGCTATGAAGTATCACAATAAGATAACTGTAAAAGTTAGGATGAATTAGACAACGTACCTATGCGGCAGAGTCCATTGGGCGTTAAGGTTTTAGGTATAAATACAATTCATATCTTTATTGAGGTCGATTCTATGTAGTCTTGCACGCTACAACCTAGTATAGCTCGGGCACGTTGTTCTCCACTACACACTTCAAGTCGTAAGCAGTATCTATTTAAAAAGGGGAGTCATTTAAAAGTTAAAGTTAATTTGTTTTCTAATTAGTAAATGTAGAATCGATTTTTTACTAAGTCTAACCTCATTTCATGCTTGTATTTTTTATGAGATTAGTTAATTGTATCACCCATTTTGAGTGAGATGTGCTCGGTGCAAATGTTTTGGGAACTTAGAAATTTTAGTATGCAATAACCCAACAATGGTTACTAAGTCTAACCTCATTTCATATTCTACATTTCATTGTCGCAATTGTTACACGATACAATATGTTCTATAACTTTCACTTTTTTGCTGCACTTTTTGCAAGACGAATACCACGGCTCATCTTTATTGAGTATGTCTATAATTGTTGCTTTGAACTTGTACAAAAAATCCTACACATCGCCAATATATCATATTTGTGATTATATTTTGAATATTAAAATGGTTATTATTTTTAGAGAGTACAAGTATAGGATATATAGTATATACTTGTGAATCAACTAGCAATCAATCCATAATATATACCAACGGAACTTCTATGGCCCTTCTCATTTCTTTACTTGGTGTTACCATAAAATCATAATTTTTGGCCTTTATCATTTCACGCCTGTATTTTTGATGAGATTAGTTAATTGTATCACCCATTTTGAGTGAGATGTGCTCGGTGCAAAAGTTTTGGGAACTTAGGAATTTTAGTATGCAATAACCCAACAATGATAATAGAACAATTGTGTCCTGTTATAGGAACTTTAAAAGTAACCTGTCTACAATGCAAAAGTATAGTATGTACATTAGTTGTGACAATCGGGTTTAAATAACATTGCAAAGCATATGTGTGATTAATGTAATGTATCAGGTCTGTGGATTTTTGAAACTGTGGATTGGTCAAGACGATACTCATGGAAATGATAGATATTTCAAAAGTGCCTAGCATGGCAAGAGCTTGTTTCAAATTTGAAACAACAACTATACTCAGTTTATTATAAAAACACAAAGTAGTCTGTCAAATACTTTTATAGATTGAGATTCTAACGTCACATAAGTCAAGTATAGGTTTATCATCTTTCATCTTTTCTAGAAAAGCACCATCATTTTTTGCAAAATCTTCTCATAGAGTAACATTTGTATTCTCCATGCTGGGGCGAAATGTGGATACTTCACCATATCTCTATATTGGTGGTATTTTAGGCATCTTCAAAACATACTGCTCATTTGTAACAACTATCTCCCGTCTCTTGCTATATTCTTTTTCAATGAGAGGATTCATTGAAACTAAAATGCAAATCAAATCTTAGAATAGGTAATGTAAATTAGTGATAGCGATTACGTAATGGAGCATGAAATTAAATAACAAATTTTTTGGATGGATAGTTACCTAGAATAGCACCATTAGGTAATTTATCGACATAATCCAATGATACAAAGCCAACAGAGAATATGTGTGTTGAAACCTCAATGTCAGTCGCCTTTATGATTGTGTTATCTGTAAATGCTAATTCAACTTCTTTATGTACGGAATAGTAGTTGGGGTTGACGCGATCTAAGCGTCTTTTAGCAATGTAGTAACTCTTATTTGGTTTCAAGGAGTCCTTCCATGTTTCGATATGTTTATTAAATAGTGTTGCTTGAATTTTTGTACCTAGTATTGTGCAAAGGGGTAGGAGTATAAGTACAATAAACATGAACGATAAAATAATAAGGTAAGTAAAAATGTAAATGTTATTACCTCTTCATTAACTAATATTATTGATCTGAAAGTCCCTTCATGCCTTGAATTCTTGTTAGGTATTATTGAACCCCTTCAAATCACAAAGACTCTCATCACCGAATTAACGGACTATTTTTGTATCTTGTTTATCGGTACATTCCATTTTGCTAGTTCAATTTCAATCGTCATGTGGGCTGGAGCTTGATGACTACCATTGGGCGACAATGTTAATTCTAGGCGTTATTGTGTATTAGTACCATTGATGAGGGCGACAAATGGTCGAGATCAACATGATTAGGTAGGGATTTGATGAATAAAAGAGGGTATCATTAAGATGTAAAGTGCGGCTAAACTAAGGTTAGAAGTAACATATATATGTAAAGTATGTGTTTAAAATTGCCAAGGGACTGTATATGGGCAGGTGAACCAATAATAGGTTGTATAAGTAATGTTTCATGGGGAAGAAACAAAGTTGATTAGTGGTGTAAAGTATGTGTTTACAATTTCCAGGGGACTGGATGCAAGCAGGTGAACTAATAAATATATATTTGCATTAAAAAAATATTTATCTCATAAAATTAGCTATTAAATAAATAATAAAAATTAAACTAATACAAACTTAGACTGACATTATTACAAGTCATATGAACTTTTCTTTGTCTAAAATACTGAAATATTAAGAAATAGTAAATAAATTAAACAAAAGGGCAATGTTTACATAGTAATAACTATTTTGAAGAAAACTTTTTAAGAGTCTAAATCACATAAGTAGCATTGATAAATAAAATCATTCTTTTGTCTTGATCATCAAAAACAAATCGTGACAATTCTCTAAATTTTGGAAAAAGATATTTAGAAGCATATATCTACGTCACAAGAGAAGTTGTTAACAAAAACAAATAAATTTAGATTACATCATGTTAACTTCATATATTGGAACATTACATACTAATGTATATATTAAGCAAAAAAATAATATTTATATCATAAAAAATATATTATTTTCCTCAAGTACTCTAAAAGGTAGTATGAACAAATGTTTTTTGTGTCTTCTCTGAAAAATCATGACTTTTCCGAGAAGTCACAACACTTTAAAAAAAGACACAATTTTTTTGAAAAAATCACAATTCTTCGAAAAAGTCACAACTTATTGAAAATGTCACAACTCTTTGGAAAAGTCACAACGCACCGAAAAATCACAACCCTTTGAAAAAAGTCACAACTTATCGAAAAATTCACAATCTAAGTTAAAGATATTATATTTAAAAAACAATTTGAAATATCTTATATATGTTATAAACATATATCATTTATAATTTATTTATGAAAATAAAAACGTTCAAGACGAAGATATTTATGTCTCTTTCTTATAGGCCAAAATAGTAAATTTTGAAGCTTTATTTGCAATAAATTTAGTGCTTGAAAGTTCGGTATTTTTTTTTAACTAAAAAATTTGAAAGTTCTATAATGTTTGTTATTTTAACTATTTTTCATTTTGGATAAATTATTATCTATTTTCCCTCTTTAAAATGAATCATTTTTTAATTTTTTGTGTATGATTATTAACTAAACCAAGCCCAACTGAAACCATTAACACAAACCGAGCTATTTGCTAAAGTTCCCCAATATATATTATATTTAACTTAATTTTAATAAGTTAACAATCAATTAATTTAA